CTCTTAGATGCTGGAGAGCCACAGCTGGTCTTAGACAATACAGGTCTTGGTGGGCAGCTTCTCTGCTGGGTGGCAACTCCCTCTTCCTCTCCCCTCAGCCTGCCGCTGGTTGGCAAGAGCTCCAGGTGAGTTTTCCCACAGGGCCGGTGGGGAGGGAAAGCAGAGGTGTCACAGTCACTGCTGTTGCCTCATCCACAGACCAGTCCCTTTGGCCCAGCTATATTTATTTATTTACAACATTTGTATCCTGCTTTTCTGCCCCTCCAAGGGCCACCAGGGTGGCTAACAATTTAAGGCATATATGGTAAAATCACATGTTGATCACAGCTTGGGCTGGCTGGTGGTGGAAGGGCATGACCCTGCACCCCACCCCCAATTCCCCCACTGGCTGCAGTCACCAGGGGAACACCGGCATAAAGGGCAGCTGCTCTGGGAGGCCTTGAGAGTGCAGCCTTTTGCCACACAATGCAGAACGCAGAGCACAGTGCTGGGGCCACATTCTTTCAGGTCCCCCTCAAAATCTGACATCCTAGGCAACTGCCTAAGTCACCTATATGGTCAGGCCAGTCCTACAGCATATTTATTGTGTCAGACATGATCACATGGGGCTGGTCTTTGCCTGCACTTTTCCACATCTGGAAAAACAGGAAGAGGAGCGTCTGTACAATCCTGAGAAAACGTCCACCTCATTGATTCCAGCTGACTTGGAAGGGATCATCCTTGCTGAGGATGGCACATGTGTCACCCAGAAGGTCCAAGAGGCAGCACTGGGGATGGGACTGGATTGACTGTAAAGAAGCACAGAGAAAACCAGGGCCTTCTCTTTCCCCCCTGTGCAATGCGAAAAAGGTGGGTAGCCGCCACTTCTCATTCCAGACACAATCCAGTCCCATAACTGCAATTATCATAGTTCTGTGCCAAGTTCTGTGCCAAGTTATCATAGTTCTGTGCCAAGCAACATTCCACACTGGCTGGACACTCATCAGAAAGTGTAGGCCACATAATCCGGATAATCCTGTGGTGTAGTTTTTGGAGCAGTAGCTGCTCCCTTCCTTAGCAGGTGCTTGCAACCTAACCAGGCACTTACTGGCATCATGGATTTTAGTCTTGAAATCAAGGCAGCTATGGAAGGAGTACCTGCCTTGAGTGCTAATACAGACCTTGTTGCAGTTGTGCAGATCTTAGGCATATTCACCAGTGTTTAGGCAGAGAAGGAGAATTCTTGTTAGGCTGAAAAAACTCACGGCCACTCATATACCTCCAAACCCAAGTGGAAACCTTATCCTTCAGCTTTACTGACTTCACTGTCCTTACTAAGTGAAAACCTGGTTAGAGTTACAGTCCAGCTATTTGTCCTGAGATTTGCTCTAGTAAAAACATAGCAAGGAAGCCCATTCAGCACCACCCCTACCCTGCCAGAGAAGAAGATTGGATTTATACCCCCGCCTTTCACTCGGAGTCTTGGAGCAGTTTACAATTTCCTTTCCCTTCCCCTCCTCACAACAGACACCCTGTGAGGTAGGTGGGGCTGAGAGAGCTCTTTCAAGGACTGCTCTTGAGAACAGCTCTGAGAGGACTTGTGACTGACCCCAGGTCACACCCGCTCTGCATGGCAAATGAGTTTCAGTGTAAGTGTGAAGTGATGCATGTTGGTGCAAAAAACCCCACACACCCTTGCTTCACGTATATACTGCTAGTAACTAACCAGGAAGAAAAATCTTGGGATTGTGGTGGGTTGCTTAATTAAAACATCAACTCATTGAGCAGCAACAGTGAAAAAGACAAATTCTATGCTAGGAATTATGAATACAAATAAAACTGCCAGTTTCTTAATGCTCTTGTATAAGTCTATGTTGTAGCTATGTTTGAAATACCATGTATAATTCTAATCACCCCCATCCTAGAAAGGATTCTATAGATCTGGAAGGTAAAGAACAAGGCAACAAAGGGGACGAACACCTTGCCTATGAGAAAAAGCTAAAGAATTTTGGGGGTTTTACTTTAGAAAACTGATTACTAAAGGGGGAGTTTATGAATTATTTCTCTCTTCCATACCAGTAGAATTTGGCAAGCATTTATAGAAGTTGATGGGTAGTACATTTGGAACAGAAAAGCAGTATGTTTTCATGCAATGCAATAATAATTTATGGAATCTGATGCCTCACGATTCAATAACGTGTAACTTAGATGGTTTTAAATGGGTATTTGATAAATCCATGGTCTATTAGCAGTGCTAGCTAAATTAATTCTCCTTGTTCAGGGCAGTGCACCTCTGCAGCCAGTTGCTGGGGGCAACAGCAAGGAAGAGCTGCTGATTTCATTCTCTGCTTGTGGGCATCCTGGAGCAGGCCTGGAGCTACGGTGGGGCATCTCGGGGCTAGGCCCCCTGACTTACTGGCAAGGCCCCACAACTTCCCATCCAGCCCAGGGCCCCCGAGCGGTGGCGGGTGTGGGGAAGGAGCTGGGCCCCAAGGGGCCACAATGAGGTGGCGTTGGCATCTTGGTAGAGGCCCGGGTGGCAGAAGCTGCAGAGTAGCTCAGGGCTGCACCAGGTAGTGCTGGCATGGCTGCCCTGTGTGTCACTGTCCCTTCTCTCTCCTGCTCCCTTCCCCCAGTTCTGCTGGGTGGCTGCTTGGCATGGCACTAGGGCCAGGCTCAGAGGACACGTGGCGATTAGCCAGTGCTCCCTAAGAAATTTAAGTGCCCCCTGACTTTAAAAATCCTGCCTACGGGCCTGTCCTGGAGGCTTCTGACTGGCCCCTATAAGAACCAGGATACTGGGCTGGATGTAGCAATCTCTCTCCTGCGGGAATTCTTGCAACCAGAAGCTGTTCTGATTCTGTCCTCTAGAGGGCACTGACACCATATTTGATTGTTACCATCACACTGACGGGAAAGGCAGCAGAGAGGAATGCGCTGTGTAGTAGAAAGGAAATGAGTAATTGCTTGCACACTCCTCAGGCTTGTGCTCCTGAACCCATATATCACCCTTCACTGTTTCATGGATAGGGATGGGCAGGAACCAGAAAAATTCAGTTCACGGTTCATGTCAGTGAGGTCCATTTGTGAACTGAACCTGTTTGCTGCCCTGCAAACCCTGTTGAAAGGGACCACAGTCCCTTTAAATGGGGTTTGCAGAAAGCCCCCAAAAAGTGGAGTGACAGGGAGCTCCTCAGCTGTTTTGGGCTTTCTTGAGCAGTCCCTTTTGTGCTCCCCACCACTCAGCTGTTTCTGCAGCTTTTGTGGGGGAACAGAAAACAGGAGTTTAAAGGGACTCTTTCTACTCTATCCATGAACCATCACAAACTGCTGCAAACTGCTTAAGAAGTTAATGACGGTAGACCTGTCACGATCTTCAGTTTGTGAACCGTAAACAGGGCAAAATTTGTGACTGAATTTTGCTTTGTGGTTTGTATCCATCCCTATCCATGGATGCGCCATGAACCTCCAGCCTGGATGCCCAGGATACAGCAGAGCAATCTGACTAGTGTGGTAGATAGGGTTCCCAGCTGTAGGTTAGGAAATAACTGGAGATTTTGGGGGTGGAGACTGAGGAGGGTGGAGTTTGGGGAGGGTATAATGCCATAGAGTCTACCTTCCAAAGCAGCCATTTTCTCCAGATGAACTGATCTCTGTTGCCTGGAGATCAGTTGTTATCCCAGGAGATCTCCAGCCATCACCTGGAGGTTGGCAACCCTAGTGGCAGAGCAGGATGCTGCCAGCCTCCAGTCACAGGTGCCTGAGAACCACTGGGAGCTAGGTTAAGTTGGAGCAAAATCCACCTGACAATTTATTTCCATGGGCCCAGACCAATAATCCAGTTCAGATACATGACTCATGTATAAATGCAAAGGTTGATCTTTCTCTCATACACAGCTTAGAATGATACAAACACATTCCCATGACGTTTGTGCAGCAAACACACAGCAACAGCTAGTGCATACAGTTCTTGTGGTCCACTCATGCACACACATCTATGGCACATACGTGCCTATTGAGCCCTTTTAGCTCTACTTCCAATCACTATCATTTGTGCTGATTGCATATGACTCTCTTGCCCTTTCATAGCACACTGGTTTATAAAGAAATCAGAACTTCCCATGACTTCTTCATTTTTAGGTAGATTTGATTACTTTGCCAGTCCCATGCCAGTGGCTGCGAGTTGGCCACTTCTGATGTAGACAAAATCCCTGCCCTGAACCATGATATCCTATCTTTAACTTATAACTAAACTGTGCCCCCAGTCTTTTCTTGGATTCCCAGATGCTTTGGAGGTTGAAGCCAGTTAAACCCATACCAAGTGCAGAAGGTACAGAGGCCAGTCATTTAAATCTGCCATCACTTGGAACTCCTGCCACCCTCTCTTGTCCCTGCCTCCCCCACACCAGGCACTGTTTGGTTCCAGCCCTGGCTGCTTACTCCATTCTCAGCTGCATGCAGCTATGTGATAGTCACTGTGTTCCATCTCACTGTTGGATCTGTAGGTCTGTTTGGTCCTAAAATGCCACTCACTTGTGAGCTAAACAAGAAGACACGTTGATACCTTCAGGTACCTTCTTTTTTCTTCTGCAGATGCATCATATGCCTCCTGTTGTGTGCAAAATTCATAAATTATATACCACCATGGCAATGGTGTGTGTGGATGGGTAGGGACAGGAAGGATAATGAGATAGGTGCCAACATGTTCAGACTTTTGTATTATGATGGGAACCAGATGGAACCTATTCCTCTCTAAGATTGCCCTTTGGACACACACAGTATGTTGACAGTAGGCTTAAGTCTTTACACCCCCAGGGCCTGGCTAAGGCAGAGGCTAGTCTGTTCCCAAGGGAAGCAACATGGAACAAGGAGCCCTGACAGTGGTGCGCACAAAACACCCTTCTGGAGACAAGCAGCTACATTCCCTCCCTTCCCTGGACATAAAGTTCTGTTGCAGCCTGAGATCAAGGAGGCTTTCCAGCAAGCAGATGCTGGAGACAGTCTCAGTCATGTGACGGGGCTCCAAGAAAAACTGGCAGACACAAAAAACAGAATACTCGATAGGTACACCCAAAGAGGCTGTAATGCTTTGATTTGACTCCATGTCGCACCAGGAAGAGGACCGTTTCCATCCAAGGGTGTATAAGAGCAAGTGGGTCTTGATCTCTGTTAATACATTTAGCGTACAGCTGAGAGTATGCATATCATATTGTACATATATTTAGATATATAACCCACTTTTCTACCATGAGACACTCAAAGATGAAGATTTATAAGCACCAGGGGAGAGAAACTTTGAAAGTGTGTCTCTAGAACGGTTGAGGGAAACAGTAATATATCATTAATCACAGCTGAGCCAGATAAATGTATGAAGAGCTTTGAATGATAAGCATAATCTGAAGTCTCAACAATGGCCAGGAGTAGTCAGGAAGGAATTGCTGCCCCCTGAAGAATCTGAGCGACTTTTCTTTTCCTTGAAGACACCACAGAATGACTTACTAATTTTGGCTAAAGAAATGGATAAAGCTTGGGGCAAGTATTTCCTGTAAACATATGGGCCAACAGATTATATCAGGGTTTTGAAAGGAATTTTTCTGTTTGAGGAAGGCTGACAGCTGCAGAATTTTCACTCTCATTCTACCTCTCCCCTTTCCTTCAGCTTATGAAACAGTCATCTGCTTTGGATGTTCAACTTGTCTGGCTAAACTTAGGGCTCCCTCATGATTAACATAGTGCATTTCTATTTTTCAGCATGATTAACATAGTGCAGTCCTATTTTTCAGCATGTCTAAGTGGGGAACACCGTCGTGTTCGAACAGGAAACACATACCTGTAAGCACAAATTGGACACATATTTGGAAATCACAATCATGCCACAACCATGTCCATTGTGTGTCTACAAGCATGCATCCCCGTTCAAAGTTAGTGGGTGTTCATTGTGCCGCACAAAATGACCCTATTTTAAACACGCTTGCAATGTAAAATGAAAAGCAGCCCTTACTTTTGCCTTGGGACAATCTTTGGTATGGAGCATTTTCTTCTGCCCTGCTGTGTGCTTGGAATACACTAGAAGGGCTTGGGACTCTATTAGAGATGTTTGCATAAGGAAGATTGGGCCAGCCACCTGGCTATTTCGAGGCAGAACAGCACCAAATCACTTTGGATGGGGGGCAGGGAGTGCTGGGAGGCAAATGGCAGCCGTCTTATAAAACATGTTTGCTTCCCCTGTAGCCAAAGATTCACGGGAATACTCCTGCTGCATAAGAAGTCCTCAGCCTGGTAATCACTTAGGGCTGTCACTGCCCTCGGCAGTCCTCGTGGAAGGGAGTGGGGGCAGCACACAGCTTTGAGTCCCCTTGTTGTAGCCTACTTTCACCTGCTCAGTTTAAGCTGTCCCCATCCCCACCCACATCCAAAGCATAGCTGCAAGCAGGTGCTTATAGACAGTGTCGAGTTTATTGGGTAGAGGGAAGGGCGATGCTTCATCTGGAAGACTGAGCGGGTTCAAACTGCAGACACATTCTGGTAAAACTCGATGAGAGGCGAATCCCGGTCCAGTCGGGCTGGGGGAGAAGGAGGAGGGGGGGGGGGAAAGCTATCATATCACAGGCCAAACCAGCAGGCACAGGGGCAACTGTATCAATGAACAGAGAATGCAGCTACCAGCAGGAGCCTCCCCCTCTTGGGTAAAAGGCGAGCTCCTAGGAGGATGGCAGCCACACTGCGGAGACGAAGCAAAATGGGGTGGGGTGGGGCCTCTGCCCTGTCTGTTCTCTCAGAAAACATGCAAGGGGAGGGAGTCACTAGTGACGGTGTCATTGTCTGGGCTGTGTCTGGGCCCTTTCCCAAGATGGCTACCCCCTACTCAGTCCGTGCTCCTGGGGATCACCAAGAGAAGACTGGATGAGAGAAAGTGGGGGGAAGGAGTACAGGGGAGGCCAGTCCATCTGTAAAGGCTGCTTCTGTCTTTTATTGGCAAGGCTTAAAGTGCATAGGAATGAAAGCAGAGTCCGAGGCAAAGTGGAAGGAGAGGGGCTGAAGGCAAGATGGGGCCCAGCCAGCTCCCTGAAGAAGGGTATCCACCGAAAAAGGCCACTTGCTCTGCACAGAGAAGGAAACAGAAACAGAGAGGAAGATATAGAGATAGGAAAGGACAGGGAAGAAAAAAATGCAGTGGGCAGTTCTTCAAAGCAGAGAGGAGCTGAAATAAAATTCTGGCTGCAGACTAGAGACTGGGAAGGCTGGTTGCATCTGAACAGCTACACAAGAGCCAGGGGAGGGACTGCAGAGGAAAAATCAAAGCACCCCCCTCCCTGGAATGTCGTGCCCCCCCCTTCCCACAGCTTGGTGGAGACCATACCTGTCTCTGCCCTCTGAATGTTTTGTCAGGCCCTCAGAGAGGACCATCACTTCTTCTGTACCATTATCCCTCTTTGCCTAGGCAAAGGACGGTGAGCTGAAAGCTAGGATCATACTGCCCTGCACCGTCTTTTCACTGGCTAGTCTGCTTTCTCTTCCCTGTGCCCTAGTGTGATGCAAAACCCAGATTCCCACTTAAAATTTTCATTGCCTAACAAAGGAAATACATGCTCCCATGTTGGTTAACATCAGGGAAGGAACCCCAAAGTGAGGAATTAATCTTTCTGCCGTGCCTAAGCCACCACTCACCAACACAAGCTGTACCATCCTCATTGGGCTCAAAACCTCTGTTGCAACGCTTGTTGCTTCGGCAACGGTACCCGCCATATACGTTGATGCAGATGGGCCGGTCTCGTGGGCAGACAAAGGGAAACTCGACACACTCATCCATATCTGAGAAGGAAGAGACACAGAAGTGATGGTCTGAGGTAAGACACGCAAGGCCTGGAACATTACAGGATCTTATGTGACTGCTTCTCAACACCACAGTTGGGCTGTTTCTTTATCTTCAGAATATAGTCATGCTGTTGCCACTGGATACCAAAGAGCCTCCATTCGAACCCATTATGCCCTGTTGTGGGTTGAGGAAATTGCACCCTAGGACCATTTTCTGATCTGTCCTGCTGGTGACTCACCAACACAGCGTCCGTTCTCATGCTGAGCAAATCCTTGGCCACACTGTGAGAGGAAGAGAGAAGTTTGTCATTAGCCATTAATTTAATCTCAAACTCATCTGTCTCACCTAGGCTCTAGAAAGCTGTCTGGCTGCCATCTGTGCCTCAAACCACAGAGCAGCTAGTGTAGCAACTTTCACTTTGTAGTCTTTTTCTGCTATTTACTAACTTCTGAACAGTCTATGTGCAGTGCCTCTGCAGTGCTTAGAAACTATGGTAGCTTTTGAACTGGGTGTTAGGTTTGGCTTGGGTGCTGGTGTGAAGTGACCCCCCCCCCCGCTTCCACATTGCATTGTGGGTGTTTCTCCCACACACAGATGTGCTCCCTCTCTATGGAAGTGAAAGAGACAGCCCTTGCGAATGGAGGACTCCTATGTGCACAATGGAGTATCAACAGCAGATTTCTGGATTGGGACAAGAGTTGAACAGCCAGAGAAAATTCCGTATTTGACCAGTCTCACTTGTTTCCATGGTGCAAATCCAAATCTATTTGAAAAATAAGCCTTTGAATATAGCTGGAATTCATAACCTGGTGTTCACACACAAGAGTGGTTGTGTAATTTAAAAGATGAGTGCTGTGCTGGCTGCATGCCATATGGGCCACAACATCTGAAACACAGACTGGTTCGAAGATGTTCTGTGCATCTAGTACTACACATTCACAGACAGCCTTCCTTCAAGAGAAGCAAATATTCCACTTCCACAGCTCTTTTACAGGTCAGCTCCATTCTCCCCTTGAAGGCAAGTGAGGTACCAGAGCAGCTGAAGGACACACAAAGTCAGTGCTGGACTGCTTCTCTAGAGGCAATCCCAGCAGTTCAGTTGCAGCCAAAGCTGAAAAAGTAGCATTGCAGAACTTTCTGGCACAGAACGGCCGGCCATTCTTCGCCTCCTGCCACCGCCACTCTAATGTTGAAAGTCACTGTGCTGACAAAGCACATTCTGTAACAACATCACTTCAGTTACTGTCTGTCTCCCGTCAAGGCCCCTTTAGCTATTTTACAGCTTTGAGCACTCTGATCTGTTTCAGTGTTGCCGTCACAATTCAGGGAGTCACAGAGTAGTGAAACTGGCTGGCTAGGACAGGTCTGGAATAGGGGGCTTGGTGTGGAGCAAGGGAAACAAAAGCAGTGTCACTGGCAGGGATTTAAACATGACTGTCCTTGCTGTAGAATCATTTTGCCTCATGCACCCTTTCTAGAGAAACATTGCGGCTGTACACATTAGGCAGGCAGTCTGAGCTCCGGGTGTGATGTGGTTTTGTTTTCTAAAGCAGGCAAATCATTCCAAAATTATGTGGGTTTTAAATTCTGGTTGCTGACCTATGGCATCTGCTTGAGTTCTCTTTCATCTTTAACCCCCCCACACACACATACACAATTCTTTAAATCCATTTTTAAAAATCTTTCTTACCTGGATTAATCTATTATTCTCTTCTTGTATTTTTCATCCTGTTCTGATGACCTTCCCCACACTTTCTGACTCACAGATACTTTATTCTAAGCCTTCAGGCAAATCCCTTGTTGATTTTTTAATGTTATAAAGCTCCTAACACTTTAGGGATTTTTTTTAGAGATATTAACTGATTATAATGATTCCTGAGCCTACACTTTTCCAGTTCTGATGTGCCATTTGTTTCAGTAACTAGGGAAAGCCCTCAATTCTGTGAGCACAGAAACACTGCCAGAACTTTTGTCAATGAGAAATGAAAAGTAAAAGAAAACTGACATATTTGTTTAATTTATTTATACCCTACCTTTCTCCTCAATGGGGACCTAAAGTGGCTTACGTCATTCTCCTCTCCTCCATTTTATCCTCACAACAACCCTGTGAGGCGGGTTAGGCTGAGAGAGTGTGACTGGCCCAATGTCACCCAGTGAGCTTCCATGACATGAGTGGGGATTTGAACCTGGGTCTTCGAGATACTAGCCAGACACTCTTGACCGATACACAGCACACTGGCTCTTGCCACACTGATCTGGGGAGGGAAAAATGAACTGCGTTCCAAATTACAATAAAAAATGGGGCTCACTTCAAGTGGAAGTACAATAGGAGGTGAACCCTTTGTGTCCTGGGGGTAGGGAATTTCCAGCACAGAATTGGTCTCACTCTTCACTACGGCGCGGCTGATAACTCTGCCATCTGGCCAGGTCACTTCCAAGCTGCTGGGCTCATCCTGTCCTACAAGGAAGAAGGGCAAGGCAGGACTGAGACAGGCAGCAAACGGCAACCAACTCACGGAGCAGAAGAATTCTCCTCTAAACACTCTCTTCTCATAGCAGTTGTCTGTGCTTTCCCCTCTTTACCCCCTCCCCTGCACCCTGCCATTATTCAAACATTTTCTCCTTGCACAGAAAAAAGCCCATGGAGATCCAATGGAGCCACTTCCTTTCCTTAATCACTCCACACACACCACCAGCAGTGCAGCTTCTGGGAACAATCCCAGCTGTGAGTAGTGATGTGGCACACTCTGGTGCGTGCACCTTTTGACACTCTGAGCCACCTGGCTCCTCTGTTCGCAGCCCAATCTGACCTGACCATGCCCCACTAAGCTGGGCCACCTCAGGGCTGTGGAAGACTAATGAGGTGTGGAGACATGCAGTGCCTTCTAGAGAAACAGCTGGAGGGGGCAGTCGGAGACACCCTGAAACACACACGCTCTGCTCTCTGGGAACAGGAACGCCTATCAGCAGCCCCTTGATTATGAGGACACTGAAAGAGACCTTCCAAATGTTTTGACAGGTAAAAGTTGCAGGGTGGGATGCGATAGGCTTCTGATAATATTGATTATCTAGTGTTTCTGAGGCTGTTAGCAAATACGGAGGAAATGGGAGGAGAGATGGAAGCTAAGGATTGAAGGGAGTTGGGTGGTAAGGGCATGTGAGTCAGGGAGGGGACAGGAGCAAATGCCTGTGTCACTTGTGCTGTGCTCAGGCAGCAATTAGCCAGTACTGTCTTGGATGAGAGACAGAAAAGTTCCAGGAAGTCCAGAAACTGTGTAATATTCCTGGGGGGGGGGGGCAGAATAGCACAAGAAGGGACCTGGGATAACATGTGTTGTGTCCGCTGACCGCCACCAGAGGCCAGCACACACTCCTGAGCTTGAGTCTGGCACAACAATAGGGACTAGGATCCTAGTCCCTCCACTGAGGGAACCAATGGGACCGTGGCGGGAGATTCAAACCCGCCAATGGGACCCAGGGGTGTGTCCCCTGGTTGTGTATATAGTTAGGCCTGCCGGCCGTTGTTCCTCATTCTTGTTGTGTACTAATAAAGCGTGCTATGCACTACGTCAGTCTCTGTCATTCATCCATGCGGCAACCCACTACACAATAACATGACACAGTGTTCTGCCACCACTCCTCACTCACCCAAGCCAAAATGGGCAACAGGCTCCATCTCACACAAGTACCCAGACCCTCCGTCAATGATGCGCAGGTGGGCACCACTGTGTCGTGTGAAGAGCACCACCTTTGCACCACGAGCAAATGCTCCATGCAGTGTACGTGGGATCACTCTTAGCCAGTTGTTTCCAGCACCCTGTGGAGATGGACAGACAGTGGAGGAATGTGGTAGGCATGAAACTGGGAAAGGGCAGTCCATGCTTGCCAAGACATGGGCTGGGATCTGGATACATTATGAGAAATGCATCACTGAACCCACCTGATTGACCCTGAAGACTGATAGTGGCTGTGCCATAGACTCGCCATGGGACAAAATCAGATCTAGCCTTCCATCGCCATCAAAATCCACCACCGCACCCCCTGGAATGACAACAATTTCACTAAACAGAGAACTTTTAGAACTTCCTTCCCGATAGCACCACATTCCCCATTTCACATTCATGCCTGGAATGAGATCCAGTATGAGGAAAAACCCAAGGAGTATCATTTCTTCTGACTCCACCCCCTGATTCCGACCAACGCAGCTTTGACTTTCTTTCACTGTCCTGACCAGGGACTCAGCAGCTCCCCCAGTGGAAGTGGCTGCCTCTGTTCCTTGTGTGGAATCCTGTGTCAATGGCAGCAACTTCTGCCCTTTCTGCCATTGTTACCCAAGAGTATGAAATCCTGAGCATGGATAGGAATCAGATACAAAAACTATCCCTTCCCTTCATTGGTATGCTCAATGATGCAGCTAGCCACCTAGGTGATCAATCACAAGTCATGTTGCTCTGGCCACAGAACCAGGAGGTCCTGATCTTGCCTGGGAGCACCAAGAGGTTTAGTTGCAACTTCTGCCAAACCCTCCTTCAAATGCCAACTCACCTGTACCACGCCCTTCCAGCTCCAAGGCATCACCAGGGCTCAGTTCTTCAATGGCAGGGTCAGCATGTTCTCTGCGGGAAATCCTGAAGCAGAAGGAAATTGTACTAGAGAAGGGTAGTGACTCTCCCCACCCACACAAGCCCCATGATGAGTGCACCATGTGCCTGAACACCAAAGGCAGATCTTCTCAGAAGGGGCCCTTGCCCATGCTTACAGCGACAGCTTTTTTTGCATGAACTCCCCAGATTCGCCACATGCTGTTGTGCTATCACTTTATTAGACTGAGAAATGTAAGCGGCCCTGTTTAACGAGCCATTGATTGCCTACAATTAATGTGAACCGTGCATAAGTGCTAATTAGTGAAAGCCAGAACCTCCAGGGATGTAGACTAGGCAGAACAGGCTGCTGTATTAGTGGTGATGTGCTCAGCCACAGCTCCGTCAGTGAGAAGGACAGAATGGAGCATGAAAGGGACGCACCCACCCCGTCCATGAGGAGCCACTCAGCACCTGTGGGTTATGGCACTGGGACTAACGGGCAAGATCTTTGCCGGATAACAAGAATCCAGCCCCATCTCCTCCCCCACCCCACAGTCTCAGTTCTGCATGCAGGTATTGCTAAAGAGAGATCTGGTCGACACCAGCTTCTAGCACGGCAAAGTCCTTCCTGCCCTGCCCCAGAGCCTATTAAGAGGGGGAGCCCACTGCCTCAGTCTCAGGTGGCCATGTGGCTCTCACCCACCGGAAGAGGCGGTTGGCAGACGAGCCACGATAGGCGATGTTGTTGAAGAAGACCTCCAACTCCTGGTCATTGTCAAAGTCAGCAGCGATGACGGTGCGGACAGGTGATGGCATGGACAGTTTGGGCGTGGCAATGTCCTGGGGGAAGGACGGGGATTAGTGGGGCTGGGAGAGCTGGCTGGGGCTGGAGCAGGGCCAAAGGGAAGCTGAGGGTCTAGGAACGGGGCTAAGGGAGGGGAGGAGCTGGTGCTGGCACTGGGGCTGGGTGTGTGGGAAAGTCAATAGTTCCTTGTGGTGGCCGGGGCGGAAACCAAGATGAGGAAAAGGCTGCCAGATCTACACCAGGAACAGAAATGGTTTGGACCTGCAGGTCTGAAATCTGAGGCAATCCTTTAACAGAAGGAACATCTGGCAACCCAGCTAGCGAGTAGAGACGGTACGCTCTTTGGTGGGTGACTCTAATTTGTGTGTTGCAGTCTGATTCTTAGACTCTTCAACTGTTGGAATCCCCTGACTTCCCTGCTCACAGCCCAGGATACCCAGGCGGTGCACAGTGGATACCCCCCCCCCCTCAAATGGCACTTACCCGGAAGCGGACCCGCCCACCCACACTCATCTGCAGATAGAGCCGGTGTGGTCCATTCCAGTTGCCATAGATTATGTCAACTTTCCCATCACGGTTGAAGTCAGCCAGTGCCACGCCACGGCCATGCTGGTAGGGGTCATCCAGGCCTGCAGAGTGCAGTAGAGGTGTCAGCAAGGCTGCCTACGAGGCCTTAAGGTGAACAGCCCCATGTGCAAAGCATTTCCTGCTGACGACACGGGGCTTAGCAAAGGAACCGGGTCCCACAGTGGGGGGAACAGGATGGTTATCTGGCAACTCCTGCCTTACAAAGCCAAAATTCAGCCTGTCGGGAAAGAGCAGAGGAAAGGACAGAGAAGGCAGGTGGTGGGCAATGGTGTGTGTGGGGAGCGTGTGTGTGTATAAGCATATGGCTTAGGGATCTGGACTGGGGAACCTCAGCAGAATCTTGTTTCCACCCACCCCATTCCCCTCCCCTCCCCGAACCCTCCTGTTCCTATTCTCCTGCTGACAAGGAAGGAGTGTTTCGAAAGAAAATAGGTGTCATCAGCAGCGCCATGGTGATGGATGCCAACCTGACATCTCGTTAAACTCCAGTGATCAGGCAGACGCTCAATTACCGGTGGCTGAGCCTGTGTGCACTCATCGTGTCTCCCCACCCCCTCCCAGCCTACCCCGGCAGCCAGCAAGGAGGGGGATGGGGAAACTGCCCGGCCCCTAAGGATTAAAAAAGGCTCTGTGGCTCCACAGCAGATTCAGTCCTATAATTAATTGCCCCGGAACACACGCCACACACACTCCGCTCCATACTCACCGGTACTTGATGCCACATCTATGAAGGTCCCGTCACCCTGGTTCTGGAAGAGGAAGTTAGCCCCATTTTCATTGTCACAAAATATGTCTGAGGCTGCGTCGCTCAGGATGGGCCCCACAGCCACACCGCGACCCCCTGGGAAGAGGAACAGTGAGAGTTTCAAGGCACAGACACACACACACACACACACACACACACGAGCGCTGCTTCCAGAGTAGGCAGGTGGCAGCCCTAGGAGAGGTTCCAGAGGGAAGGTTTCCAGCCCTTCAAGACATCTGCCACTTGGTTCGCCCTGCCATTCTCTCCCACCCCTCTCCACAATTATTTAGGCCTTCCATTGCAACACTGGCAATCATCAACTCACCACAATGACCACAAGTCTAGTTAGGGCCAAATCACTGCCACCGAGAGCAGGACTAAGATTTCTGGATGCCGTCTCAAAGCGTGAGACTAGGACCAGAGATTCCCTCCTCCGGTTTGGAGGTTCAGGCACGATCAGCTTGAGATCCTCCTGCTGCCCTCAATACCTGTCAATTTGTTGACACCAGCATCCGCAGCCACATCATTCAGAGCCACAATGCCACGCTTGGGGTCACTGGCAGCTGTGTCCATCTCGATGAGGGCATGGGGGCCAACTCTTCCATTGGCATAGTTAGCAATGTAGATGGAGTAGCGGCCAGACCCCTGCAGGAAGCAGAGCAGCCAGTGAAGAGCCCAAGTCTCCTCCAAGCAAGTACTCTCCTCCTCCCAGCTTAGCGGGCCGACCCAGTGGGTACTTGACCAAGGTCTCTCAGTCTCTGGAAATCTAGTAACAAATCCAAGAAAGCTGAGCAGGGCTGCAAACGGGTGTGTGTGTGTGTGTCAAGAAATTCCTGGAGATTTGATGGTGGACCCTGAGGAGGGCAGGTTTTGGGGCGGGGAGGGGCCTCAGTGGGGGTACAGCGCCACAGAGTCCACCCTCCAAAGCAGCCATTTTCTCCAGGGGAACTGATCTCTGTCGTCAGGAGATTAGTTGTGATTCCGGGAGATCTCCAGGCCCCACCTGGAGGCTGGCAACCCTGTGAGGTGAGTGCAAGGCAACCCAGCCCAGTCCTTGCTGCATTTCCTTCCCATGGGCTTTGAAAGGGAAGATGCCAGTCCGTATGCCCCCGGCATGCCTCAGCCTCTCTACCAACCACCCCCCTGCCCCCATTGTTCTCTCGTGGCACCCTGATTTAGCAATAATCGTTTGAAAACAAACCACGCAAAGTAGAAGGAGAAGAAAGCATAGGTGACAGGGGCATAAATCACCCAGACAGGCTGTGTTTATCAGCAGCACGGCACCTGCCTGGCACTGCAGCCCCTGATGGGAGTCCTGACAGCTGTGGGGGAGGGGGCAGAGCTGTCAGCAAGGCCTGCGGGGGCCCGGCCACGAAGGAGTTTGGTAAAGAGCCCTCCTCCCCCCAAGTCTATTTCCTCCCTCTGCGTAACTTTGACAGTGCCTCTTTGACTAGTTCACATCCCTCAAGTCCCTTGATGGGTCTGAGTCCCAAAATTATAATGCCGCTCATCCTGCCCACACACTCACCGTCCTGTCCACGCATGCCACCGAGCGCCCAGCAAACCGGCTGGCCACACCCCGATTCACCTCGTCACTCAAGATGTCCTCCCAGCGCCCATTGCGGAACTTGAACAGCTTGTCTGTGTAGGTGGCTACACCTGGGGAGGAGAGATAAGGCATCACACTTCTCATTTCAGGGTCCCTTGCTCATGTGCTGAGCTCCGTCTGAAGATAGGAAATCTGTCTGAGTTATGAACGATTTCGCTGGAGCTCTCAGCATGTCATTAGGGGATGTGGGCACTCACTAAGGCTTCCGAGACCTGAGGTCTTTGTGTGGAGGAATGTGGCATAAACCAGTCTCTGAGCAGCACCACAACCTCTGCAGGTGTGGCACCCTGCATGCATAGATCTGTATTGTTTTGCATATTGTTCCCGAACCTCTGCAACCGGACCCCGACTGCAGCCCCACCAGTCTTTCCTTTAGGTCTCATTTCACCCACCCTGCTGAGACTCAGCCCTCATCCTGGGCCTTCTGGACTCCTCCCCCCAGCCCTGGCCCCTGGGCCTGACTGCCCGGCAGTGCTGCAGGATGGTGACCAGGACCGCACTACAATGAATGCAGCAACCCCAGCAAAGCTTAAGGGCCGGTAAGGGAGGCCCAGAAGAATAAACTCATTAAGGTAAAATGTGCCAGAGCGGCGCGGAGCCATGTACATCATAAAGGGAAAAGGGAAAATCAATGGCAGGCCCTGGCCAGGCCCCGACGCCAGGAGTAATGTGAATGGCTGATTTAGGGAGCGGGAGTCTTTGGCAGCTGCAAAGCAGTAATTAGGTGTGTCAGGAAGACGGATAAGTGGAGCCGAGAGCAGGTCGATGGTGCAGGTGAGGGGCCCAACCCAATTCTGGATGGATGCTGGAGGGGGGCAGAGCTCCTCTTTAAGCAGACTGCCAGGGATCTCTGATTAGCGAATTAGAGCACCAAGGCAAAGTGGAGAGTTGGGGTAATCAGCCCTCCCAGAGATAACCCACAATAACCTGGGAGAAGCTGCAGAATCTACCGTGGGCCCCAGAGGGCAAGGTACAAAAGCAACTTAAGCCAACCCTGATTTAGCAGTGTTTCCTTCGGGTTCCCATAAGCACACGAGAAACCACCCAAGCAAAGAGTCTGTCAACTCGAGTGCAGTACAGTGTCCACCTGGGACTGTAGCCCATGGGAGAGGCTGTGCACAGAGAGTCCTGCTGAGTCTTTGGACAGAGCTGGGAAGAGTTTGTGTGACTGCAGGTTGCAGGAGCACCCCAAATGCTTCCTCTGTTTCTGCAGCAGCGCAGCATAACTTTTCTTAAACAAATAGTTGGCAACTAAAACACAGTGCCTGGCTAAGAATCAGGGCATCACTTCCCCACAAGGAAAAGGTACTACACTTTGCCACTAGGCTGCAAATTTGCAAGGGGTGGGAAGGGGAAAATGTACTTAAGGGATTGGTGAGCTTCCCCTTCTGTATTACCATCCAGTTGTCACGAGGGATTTCTGTTTGCCCACAGATGCACAGTATTTGCCCACCCTCTCAGCAGTTCCAAACTGCAGTCCCTGCTGGCAACTACAGAGGTGGCAAAGCCCTGACTCAGCAGCCGTCTCCCCCCCACCCCCATCCTGGCTGCTGCCAGAGAATCGACAAAATCACTCAGCTGGGAAATTAACTCCAGACTTGAAACATCCCACCCTGGTGGCCAGTGAAGGTCAGGAAACTGGAATCCGTGCCTAAGGGAGGCCGGGAGAAGCCCCAAAGCAAACTATGCAAAGAAGGGGAATCGACACACCACTGGCAATCCTTACCAGGAAAGAAGAGACCATGAGACAGACCCTCTCACCACGTGCCCTCTCTGGATCACACCCCTGCCCCGCACAATTAGGGGGGGGGCTGCCTTTAGCAGAACGAATGCTGGGAATATGTTAGGCCTCAATAGGGTTTGTTACGAAGGGATGACAGTTTGTGAAAAAAAAACTATTCAAAGTTTGGCATCAGTGATCTGGGTGAGAGATGAATATTATGGGATGGAGGCGTCAGATCATGAGTATTTAGCAAATGTTGAAAAACTGATGTGCCACAAGGTCATTTTTGAGGGAGAGGTGTGTCTTGATGTCAAAGAGGGAGGCCAGAAGTCTCGAGAGAGAATTCATGAGGCATATGAGAAGGATGAGGTCATAAGTTAGCTGGCAATTAACAGTGCCAAAGATGGGTGGGTTTGGCACTCACCAGAGAAGGCATTATTGGTGTTGAGGAAGTAGATCTCTTCCCGCCCATCTCCATCTATGTCACATGCAGCCACACCAATTGCATTGCCTTGACGATCCCGCAGTGCGTGGTACGGAGAGCTCTGCTCATCCACTGCAAGGTTTACCAGCCGCCTCCGTGCCTTGTCGTACTTCAGCACCAAGTTGGGCCCGTTGTACCTGAAAGAACAGAGAGCAGGAAATGTGATAGGGAGGTGGCTTAGGAAAGCAGCCCCTCTTGCCCCCTGTGGGGACAAGAGTTTTACTGGTGGAATCTCCCCCCATTCCCACTTGTGCAGATTCCTGGTCGAGGTAGCAAAGGGCACTTCCCAGTAGCCACCAAAGCTGGAGGAGGGATAGGAGGAAACCCCACAAAGGGTACATTGCATGAAGCAAAATAATCATTTCTTTATCCCATTGGTACCCTGCCATTCATTAGGGGAGCTCAGGGCAACTGGGGTTAATCACACTTCATCCTCAAAGCAAGAGAAGGATCACCTGGGAGACAAGGATGACAAAGAGTCATGGGTGAGACCTCATCTAGGTAACTTCATGGGTAAGTGGGAATTTGAACTCAAGTCTTCCTGGTCAATTATCAGAGTTATTACATCACATAATAACCACCATGGAAGCACGGTTTCATGGATGTTTCAAATTGGCCAGAGAGAACACACCAAGAACAATTCCCATCACGAGAAAAGGCCTCCACAAACTAAATATCAAACCAGGCTGCAGGGGCTGGCTCACGGACTACCTCATGTCCAGATATTTCCCCAATATATTAAGCAATCTGGCGTCCACCTCTAGAGAGAGCTGAACACACACCCCTCCTGTCCGACACCTTCCCAGGTGGCGCAAGTAGTCATGATATGAAAAGGAGAAAGGCCATTTTCTAATCCATGCCTGGTGAACAGAGCCAAGCAGAAGCTATCCCTGGCAAAAAGAGAGGCAAGAAAAACTACTGGACTGAGTCTTTCCCATAAGAACAAAAAGTCCTCATATGACAACCCCCAAAGATATGTACTTAGTTGGGGGGGTAGATTATGACTTGGGGCTTAGATAAAAATGGTTTGGAGGAAGTCTTGATCTTTCATTTTGGATCCAGCACTATACTGTAGACTGTGAAGTAAAACCTCGTACAGCATGCCAGAAGGCAATGCTGTGCTATCAGATGAGCCGTAGCTTATGCTTTATTATGAAAGTTATTCTATATCTTCTTGTTCCCAATAAGTTAGATTCATTGGGCAGGAAATGGCACATGGATAAGGGGAGAAGATCTAGAGGTGGCTGGTGTGTGGTGTGTGTGTGTGTCCTGTCTTTATGGAAGTGGAGTCTCTTTTTAAATTCTGTTCATTCCCCCAGTCCCCGAAGGATTTTTACATCAGGGACACTCCACTGGAATTCCTTTGCCAGCACAGACCAGAGAAGAAGAGCTTGTTTGCAACACTCTCATGACAAGAGGTCTGATGCCTACCAGATTCAAGAAGAAGTTTCTCATGCCAGTTTGGGCATCAGCAGGTTTCATAAGGGGTACCAAAGGTGTTTGACATTGGGTTAGCCTGAAACCATTGCCAGAGAAAAGTACATGAAGGCACCCACCTGGGAGAAAGGCAGGCTTACAAAAGTTTCAAATAAAGAAAGACCAGGACTCTGGCAGACATCAGACCAAGTTTATGTCTTTATCCCCCTTGCTACACAAGGTGCTAGGAGCTGCGGTGGCTCAAGTGGTTAAGACGCTGAACTGCAGGCTGTGGAAGGACAGTAGTTCAGCAGTTCGAGACCCGAGTTGCCACATGACGGAGTGAGGTCCCATCTCTAGTTCCAGCTCCTGCCAACCTAGCCGTTCAAAAGCAAGAAATTGCAAGTAGATAAATAGGTACCACTTTGGTGGGAAGGTAACAGCGTTCCGTGCGCCTTGGTGTTTAGTCATGCCGGCCACATGACCATGGAAACATCTTCGGACAGCGCTGGCTCTTTGGCTTTGAAACAGAGATGAGCACCGCAACCCTAGAGTCGGATTCGATTGGCTTTTGAGCAAGGGAACCTTTACACAAGGTGCTAGCTTTCAACTGCATCCTCCCATCCAAAATCACTGACCGGCCAAAATGGCAGAACTCGGATAAGTTTGATCCAGGGTGATATCTGGATTGTTTTAGACATCAATCCACATTAACATTGCACAATGCAAAGCTGCAGAAATGCCTGAGTGATTTCATCTGGCAGCTGACAATGTGTGACTCTAGTATAGTTAGCACGGAGTTTGCTAAAGCTGAAAATGCACAGTTTGGAGGGGAAATTAATATAGTAGAATGAGGGCAGGGGAGCCAGAGATAAATATACAGCTTGGCAAGATTTAGAGGACAAAATTACCAAGCCCTGGAGAAAAACAGCAGGGCCCAGTGCGCTCCTACGCATGAGAGGGTCCAGGCTTGGGGTTACAGCAGACCAATCAATGAAAAGGGCCATAATTGCATCAGAGGCTTTATCTTGTGACACATCAGAAGAGGTGCCTCATCTCTGGAACGTGCTGAGTGAGAGGGTCAGCTTCTTAGTAAGTGAATCCAGAAGGACGAGGATGGATACATATCAGACAGGGAGCTCAATGATTTGGCATGGAAAAGATTGGCTTTTGGAAATGTACAGCACCATCTTTGAAGCCATGCAATTTTTTTTAACATTCTGGACACTTCATATGCTTCCTGTTTAATCATTCTGACAGCAGGTGGATTCAGATGAGCCTGCTACTTACATGAATGATTGCAGTTATCCCATGAGAACCTCAGCCTTTGATGCTTTCATTTCATCCCATGGTGAGTAACTACTGCCCTGCTATGTTTTAATAACCCTGGGAAGGAAGCTTCTATGTGATGAAATCCCTAATAGTTCTGAATTCATTTTTCTATATAATGTTGCTGTAGTTTGTGTAATCTTTGCATGACTGGAAAAGCTCCATACAATGTAGTATCAGCACAGAGGAAAGAAAGGGCAGCATCCTGCAATCCCAGCCTTTTAAAAGCCTGAGTAACTAGATATTTACAGAGCAATTGACTTTGCTTCCCCTGCTGATAGACCACCGTACCCATATGACAACTGCAGAAGCAGAACAGAAGAAAGAAGACATAAAAAGGACAAACATCTGTGGCTGCTGGTTATGAGGCTTGAATAGTTCTCAGGTTTTGGTCTGTGGACAGGAAAATACCAGTTCTCCTTTCCAACAAAACTGAGATTGAGAAGAGCATTTCCTGTCCAGTTAAGATTGCTACATCTAGAGCAGTTAGCAATGCCTGGTGCTTTATGATCTCCCAGGCCATGAAACAGCAGATATAAGTAGCTCTCATGTCTTCTCCCAGATGTCTCACCAGGACAGTAACAGCAGCATGATGCTTCACAGTCAAAAAGCTCTCAAGGCCATTGGCATAGTCTCCAGTTCTGAAGCTGGCACATTTAAGCCCTAATAATGTCACTTGCAGCACCGTGAATAGCCCAGACTAGCTCGATCTTGTTGGAAGCTAGGCAGGGTTGGCCGTGGCTAATACTTGGATGGGAGACCACCAAAGACGACCAGGGTTGGTACACAGGGGCAGGCAATGGCAAGCCACCTTTGCTCGTGTCCTGCCTTGAAAACCCCATGGTGCTAAGGTTGCTTTGAGTTGGTTGTGACTTGACAGCACACAATAACAACAACAACAACAACAACAACAACAACATTGTTGTCACTTGCATAGAAGAGGTGCCTGACATTGGAAAACACTCTCCATAGACAGCAGTCAAGAGCAGGGCCATATTAAAACATGCCAAGGCCCTCAGCTATATCAAGTTTAAGAGGTCACATATGTAGCATTATCCCAAAAAGTTAATTTAGTAAAACACTAGCTTACTTAGCTTGCACATAAATCCAGCTCTGCTCAATGGAACTGCAACCCCCCCCCCCTTTTGCGCCTTTCAAGTGTCCCTTTCTCAACCACCATGCCCCAAATGCCCAGCAGCACTCCTGCCCTGGCCTTCAGTAAGCAAGTTATCCAAGCAGCATTCACATTCCTCTGGTTATGAAATATCCTGTCTGTAGTGATGATGGCAGCCTGGAATGAAAGGAAACAGCAGAACTGCCCACTTCCCCAATCACACTGGCAGGGCTACAGCAGCCAGGGTTGCCTGGCCAACCTCCAGGTGGAACCTGGAGCCCGCTCAGAATTACAGCTGCTCTCCAGACAACAGGGACGAGTGTCCCTGGAGGAAACAGCAGCTTCAGAGGGTGGATTCACACATCCCCCCCCCCAGCTCCCTCCCCGCTGTCTTCCCAAGGAACAACCCCCAAAACTCCAAGGATTTTTCAAGCCAGAGTTGGCAAATCTAGTCGCAGCTCAGTTCCCAGAAACAGTTTTAGATTCTCCTTCCAATCTGGCCACCTTCAGTCTCAGGTCAGAAGGATCCTCATTTGGCGGCATTACTTTTCTGGAGGGCTTGGCCTTAGTTCCTGAGTGTCCTGGTGTAGCTGGGGTAAGTTGCAGCACGGCTGAATCAGCCATGCAGTGCAGAAGAGATGTACAAGGCATTGCTTGGTGAAGGCATCCACATTCAGCTGCTTCCCAATTAGCTTCCTTCTTTCTACCTTGAATGCCCAATAATGAGCTCATGGGAACTCAGGCTGAAAAAAACTCCAGAGCAGCAGCTGCTGCAGGTGGGCAGCGTACATCGTCCTTTCAAGAGCGGAGACCACCGATGGGACAGCTCCTCTGATGAGAAGCACCAACAGTGGGGGAGGGGAAACCACATTCAGCACTGATCAAAGCAAAGCCAAGAGTAGAAAGCCTGGATCCTGCTTGTCTTCTCTTAAGCTTTCTCTTTGGAATCATCTGTTTAGCTCCTTAATAGACGTCTGTTGCTAACATAGTGCATTCTAGGCACAACACTGGACTTGGGTACTGTGGTATAGCGGTTAGAGTGTCAGACTAGGGTCTGGGAGACCCTGGTTTGAATCCTCCCTCTGTCATGGAAACTTGCTGGGTGACCCTGAGCCGGATCACACTCTCAGCCTACCTGACCTCACAGGGTTGTTGTGAGGATAAAATGGAGGAGAGGAGAACAATGTAAGCCATTGAGGATTAAGGCAGAGTATAAATAAAGCAAACAGCAGCTGAAAAGGGAAGCATGACTTAATGTAGGTTATTACCTGGCCTGAA